AATGTTGGATTAGTAGTTCTTAATAAACATTTTATCCTAAATAATATGCAGACCACCTGAGTGACTAAAATAAAATTAACATGCTTGTTCCTTTGTAGCTTAGTGTTCTCAGTTTCAAAATTTGGATACCTGAACCAGGTCCTTTTTGTACTGGAAAATTCACCACCCCCTTTTTTAAAAAAAAGAAGTGAAACACTAATTCCAAAGATTACTGTAATTACCAATAAAAATCAATGGAAGACTTTATTCTATTCATCTGTAAGCATATGTCCAATAATTCTTTGTTTCAGAAATTAAATCACTTAATAAAATGAACAGATTTTAAAAGCCACTCTTTATTGCACATTTACAATATATTTGACAACTTTCTAGTTACACAAATAACTAAATTAATTACATTTGGGTAATGCATTGCTCAAGATTACTGAAAGTCAGTAAATTATTTTTCCAGGTGATTAATCTTACAATTTGAAAAGTGTTAATATGTCTTCTTCAAGTGTCTATTGGTGGGCATTAGTTTCATAGATTCATTTTTATTTTTGCATTTACTATATAATAAAACATGTTTCACTAAAGCTATTATTAGGTATGTACAAAAGACATAGCGTTTTTGGTGGTAAGGGACACAAATAGAGAAAATTAGAAACCAAATCAAATCTACCCTGCTAGATCAGTTCCCAGAGACTAAGGTTTAATTTTTAATGCATATACTTTGCCTGAGAATAGGTATTGATTAATGCAATATTTTTTATCAATAAAGGCTTTATTTACTCAGATTGTCCTTTCATTTAATACTTTTACTATTTTTTAATATGGAGAGAAATCCTAAATCTGCATAATAAAGTATAAAAGTAACATTGTAAAACTTGAGTTCCAAATCCTAAACTAAGAACTATGAAATTAATGGTGCATTGTTGCTAAATGGATAGATTAGGTCTTGAATAAAGTTAGTTTGTTATATGAAAAACATCAATAAATAAATCCATTATTCCCAGGCTCTCTATAAACAATTTCTATAAGGAAACATTATAAAAACTTTAAAGCACACTCTAAAAAGGTTTAAGTAGTTGTTATTAACATTATCTAGGTTTTATATGATTGTTCAACTGAATTAAGTATGAAAATTCCTAAAACGGAAAGAAAAAATAGCAAAGAAAGCAGAAAACAATGAATCCAATGATCCAATTCACGGAGTAAATGTAGATGATCACCATATCCATGTCAAACCACCATCCCCGGCTGTCATCGTCAAAGTGCAGGTAATCCATCCTGTGCGCGCCATGTGGAAACTGCCTTCTTGTAACTGGGGCTGCGTGTCTGGGAAAACCTAGAAGTAGGAAGAACGTGTTATTTCTAAGCTTGTTCAAGTCAAACAGATTCCAAGCCAAAAGTTACTTTGATTTCACTGAGTGGTAGGTCATGTCCAACGATAAACAGCTGTCAGGAGCAGCCTCGTTGCTGACATTGAAGGACAATGGGAGAAAGGTTAGCAAAGAGATGGACTCAGGAGACTATCTGCTTTCTGTCACTCACTCAAGGAAAATTATTTGAATTCCTTAAATTTAAGTTTTCTCAGATGGCCCATAATTCTATGTTTTAAAATCTGCCAAGGACCAAAATGTAATCCTTCCCACTTGAGAAAATTTTCTAAATATAAACTGTATTCATACTTTATTTTTCCAATGATGTTTACAACTACTGATCTAACTTCTTTTAGCCAACTGAATCTTACATGTCACAGCAGCCTAATTATTTGAGTAAAGCTATGTTGGAAAATATCTCTTATTTTGTTTTAGTAATGAATAAGCTAGAAATACACACTGGTGTTTCTTTCAAACAATTTAGCTTTCATTTTCATAACAAAAGATGATTTAAGAGGGTTTCACTCACCATAATAGAGTAGTTTCTGACTCATAGCATTCCTATAGGACAGAGTAGAACTTCCCAGTGGGTTTCCAAGACCATACTTTTTAAAAAAAATCATTTTATTTGGGGCTCGTACAACTCTTTTCACAATCCATCCATGTATCAAGCACTTTTGTACATTTGTTTCCCTCATCAGTCTCAAAACATTTCCTTTCTACTTGATATCAGCTCATTTCCCCCCTCCCGCCCCACTCCCCTCTCCCTCACGAACCCTTGATAATTTATAAATTATTATTTTGTCATATCTTACACTGCCTAATGTCTCCCTTCACCCATTTCTCCACTGTCTGTACCCCAGGGAGGAGGTTATATGTAGATCACTGTAATCTGTTCCCCCTTTCTCCCTCACCTTCCCTCCACCCTCCCGAGATATCATCACTCTCAACACTGGTCCTGAGAGGTTCATCTGTCCTGAATTCCCTGTGTTTCCAGTTCCCATCTGTACCAGTGTACATCCTCCAGTCTAGCTGGATTTGTAAGGGAGAATTGGGATCATGATAGTGGGGGCGGAGGGGGGGGGGAAGCATTCAAGAACTGGAGGAAAATTTTATGTTTCATCATTGCTACACTGCACCCTGGCTGGCTTGTCTCCTCCCCGTGGCCCTTCTGCAAGGGGATGTCCAATTTCCCACAGATGGGCCCTGGGTCCCCACTCTGCACTCCCCCTCATTCACAATGCTATGATTTTTTTTTTCTTTGATGCCTGATACCTGATCCCTTCCATGCCTTGTGATCTCACAGGCTGGTGTGCTTCTTCCATGTGGGCTTTGTTGTTTCTCAGTTAGATGGCCCCTTGTTTATCTTCCAGCCTATAGGACCCCGGATTCTATAGCTTTTGATAGCTGGGAGCCATCAGCTTTCTTCATTGCATTTGCTTATACACCCACTTTGTGTTCAGCGATCGTGTCGGGGTAGGCTGGTGTGGACCATACATTTTTAGAGGAGTAGAAAGACTTATTTTTCTCCCACAGAGTAGCTGAAGGCTTCGAACTGCTGATCTTGTGGTTAACAGCCCAAATGCACAAATAAGTTATAGTCTGTTACTAAATTAATATGTCATTTCATAGCAATATATTAAAATGCTAATCTTTAAAAAACTTTCTGATATTTATATGCTATTTATTTAGAACTTAAGTGTAAACCCACCCAATGGCAAGTAGTTAGTTGATCAATATATCATTTCAAAGGCATTTAAAAAACAAAATTCAGTTTTCTAAACATTGATACCTGATTATCAATCTTCTGATTTTTCCTTATTTATTATCTACTTTAAGTGTTTCTGTGCTTATTAGTGCTTAATTATGTTACTAGGGACAACGTAATAAAGTGAACAGTAAAGATGTCATTCTGGTACTTGCTGACACCTCTGTGATAAATTTCTGTGATGCTTCAGCTTGAAGTAAATTCTGAATTCAGTTCATCCATTTTAACATGAGTAATGCTTATATTCTGTGCTCTAGGTCAGGCTGAGTATCCTCGTGGAAAGAATGCATTCTATTCCCCTGGATAATAGGATGAGTATTTAAATCCAAATTTCTTTGCTCAAAAGCAACCCTTATATATGTATGTTTTCTTGTAACTCAGACTTACTTGCATTATTTAAAAAAACATGAAATAAGAAAGTATGGGATAAAGATAAAATACATGATATCCTAGAATAAATTATAGTTATACTTTAAAGTTTTTGTAATGTCTAATGTTTTCTGGTGACTTTCATATATGCTTTGATTTTTTATCATTAATTTTTATAACTGAGCAAAACTCTCACATTATGAGATGTTAGCACTTTCATTTTCCTGTTTGCCTTTTCATTATTATTATTGTCTTTAATCTGATTTCTTTTCAAGATTCTCTTTAAGTCTCTTGTCTACTTTGCCCTAGTATGTTCAAGCTAGATAAGAGAATCTAAAAATACATTTTGGGGGCATATGAGGGGGCTTCAAAAAGTTTGTGGAAACATGGAATTAAAAGATAATGGAGCTTTCTGCAGCACCCCTGTATGTTTGTTGTATGAGGTGCTGTCGAGCAGGCTCCTGGTCTCAGGGACACCCTGTACAGCAGAATGAATCACTGCCTGCACTGCCTGCTTCTCACAATTGTTATACTGGAGGCCATTGTAGTGTCAGTTCATTTAGGTGAGGGTTTTCCTCTTTTGCACTAATGCTTTACATTTACCAATCATGGTGTATTTTGCCAGGACTGGCCTCTCTTGATAAGACCTCTCTGTCCGAATATGAGACAAAGTCTCACCATCTTTGCTATGAAGGAACATCTACCTGTACTTCTTTCAAGACAGGTTTGTTTGTTCCTGAGAGTGCAAGGCACTTTCAATATTCTTTACCCACACTGTGATTCAAATGCACCGATTCTTCTCTGGTCATTCCCTGTCCAGATTTAAAATGAATTTGAGGTGATTGAAAAGATCATACACAATTTGGGTCAGGCTCACCTCTGTCCTCAAAGTAACATCGTTGCTCTTGACACTTTAAAAGTAGTGGTGTGCAGCAGAGATGACCAATGCAATACACTGTCTGATTTATTGAATACTGCTTCCATGAGAATTGATTGTTGACCCAAGCAAAATGCAATTCTTGATGACTTCAATCTGTTCTCCCTTTACTATTATGTGGTCTACTCATCCATTGTGAGGATTCTGGGTTTCCAGTGATTTGGAATCCATACTGAATATAATAGTCTTCGATCTTCATCAGTAAATGTTTCACAGCAGTTTTGTGTTCAGCGAGCATACTGCAGGCTGTTGATGAGTCTTCCTGTAATCTGATGCCGTCTTCCTCTTCTAGTCTACCTCTCAGGTAGTTTCTTCAGCATACAAAATGAGTAAGTATGGTGAAAAGATATAACCCCGAAGTGCACCTTTTCCTGATTTTAAACTTTGCTCTGATGGAATGACTGCCTTTTGGGGGTCAGTTCTTGATCTTATGCTCCCTCTTGAAACGGTTAGACATCAGTCAATCCTTCTTGGTAAGTGACTCTGCATCACTTCCATGTGCTTTTCATGCCTTTTATATTATCCCGCGTCTTGGCCACAGAATCCTTCAGCATGTTGCAATACCCAAAAAACAAACTAATGAAGTCAACCCCCTTTTATTTTCAAATTCCAGTTTCCTACAGATATATTTTATTCTCTTTCTGGATAAACATAAATTTTAATCTTGAACCCACTTTGTGGCATTCTACTTTGGAGAACATAAAGAGATTTAATATCACTGGCTTTTTAAAAGAATTCCAGAACGCATTTAAGTTTTATTGACATAGAATTCACATATGATACAATTTAATAGCTCGGCGATATTGAGAGGAATCATACAATCATCAGCACAATCAACTCCAGAACATGTTTTATTCCTTGCGCTCAGCGTTGCTGGCTTCCCAGACATCTAACCAGTGTTTTCAGAAGAGTGGTCAGTACCGTAGTTAAAAGGAGACATTCTGAGTATGGGAAAGAGGGGCAATGGGATTTTAACCATTCAAACATTACACTAATATTTATTCACTAATATAGGTTGAAGAGTAGGTAACAGTGTTACTAGAAATTATTACAGGTAAAAATATGTGCTGTATTGATCCTAAATGTGATTATGTATAGATCTTCTTAGTCCCCTCAGATTAAAAAGTGCTCACTGTTTAGCGCAAAAGAGTAATGGTATACTTATAGAAAACAGTAGAGCTGAGAACAATTGTGCAGCAAAAGTGAAGCACTAAGACAATGGACATTTTGGTTTGCTCTCAAACGGCCCTAGTTCATTTTAGTTTTTCTGGTATAACAGTTAATAGTGTCTCTTTTAAACTAAAAATGCCCTGGTCAATGCTAATTTCCTTTTCAGTGGAAGTCACTGTTAGAAAGTCAGTGTAGAAAGACACTGGATTCAAGAATTCCTAGCTCCAAACTAAAGATGTTTACCTGGGTCCCTCAGGCAAGCCCCTTTTTATAGTTAGCTAGATAATCATCATTGTTTGGTTAAAATGATTTTTTTTTTAAGCTGGAAGAACTGGGATGTTGGAATAAAAATTTGGAATTCCCAGAGCTGTAAACTGGATGGGATTATTTTAATTTCTAAATCACAGTTAGACTAAAAGAAAATCATTTCAGAGACACTATTTGGTAAGTATCAGAATAATTATAACATCAGAAAAATTGCCACGAATACTAATTAAAATGACTAATAGTAATTCCACTATATTGATAAAATTATTTACTTCATGATGCTGTGATAAGGGTGAAATAAATAATACATGTAAAATACGATGCCTTCCAATAAGGATTTACTCAATGTTAAGTTCTTCTACTATTATTTTTTCCCAACAGTTGTATTGGCACATCACTTACATATCATGTAATTCAACAGTCCAATTGTTGGTCCATATCAAGGGGAACTGTGC